TAGTTTTCCAAAAATAGCTAATGATGTCTCCAACTTTTGGAGCTATAATATCTCATAATTGTTAGGTATGTAATCATAGTGTGTTTGGCTATATAAAAAAATTCACTATTTTACCTATTTTTTATTATGATTTTAATAATTTAATAGTTACTATTGAATTGATATGATGTCTAAAATAATAATTTAAAATTACTTTTAAAATTTTAAAATATAATTTTACTATTTTAATTTTTTATTAAAAATGAAAAAATTATTTCAAATAAATAAAAAAATATTGTATTCTAAATTGTAGTAATTATTAAATTTTCAATAATAATTGAAATTCAATTCTAAATTAAAGGTTCAAAAAAAAAAAAAAAGTAGGAGAATTAACTTTAGCTTGAAAGGTTGTGTTTCACACTCCTAAAGCTATGTTGTTGGATAAATTTCAAGTAGTTTAAATTATTAAATTACTAAATAAAAATTAATTATTAATATTTATAATGCCCATAAAACTAATTATTTAGTATTATTAATTACTAAATAATAAAATTAATTATTAATATTTTAAAAGTTCATAAAATTTTCAAGAAAGGATAAGGTTTATGTATGTATGTATGTATGCAGACATGCTTTACATAAACAGTAGGCCCTCAAAATATCTCTTCCCAACTTCATTGGATTTTTATTCTAAAATTATATCATGTGACTGGGTCTATTACTATAATAGTTTTAAATTAATTACTAAATAATTATAAAAAATATAGATATGATGCTTAGAAAAATTTAATTGTTGTTTTAAGTATCTTGTTGATATTTATTTAAAAATTCTATACCTACTTTAATTAAGGAAGATTGAAAGTTTAGATTTCACTAAATTTATAATATAGTGTTCCAATTTCATGTAAATATATATATATATATATCTATCCAATTTTTAAGTAGTCAGTACCAATATTCTTCAAGAAGGTCAATTTCGTTATGGGATCTATGAGAATTTAATATATAAAAAATAATTATTAGTGAGAGATTTTTTTTTTTTTTTTACTGGTGGGTCGTTTAGTAAAAGAGAAATTTAGATGTATTATTATTAATATTTTTGAGTAATCAACTTATAATAAGTAACACTTATGGGGTATGGGAGATTGCCCTTTGAAAATAGGAGTCAATTAAATGTCTAATGTATGTATATCTTTTTGAGTATTATGCTTGTGTTGGCTAATTTCTCCTTACACTCTTCGATTATTATTATAAAATCATGCTAAAAACTTTGTTTTAAGATTTTAATTGTAAAAAAATTGTCTTCTCGTAATCACTCAAAATGAAAGAAG